ACACATGACTTAATTCGGCATACTACGTTAAAAAAGCGACAGATATTTATATTTTAAATGAGTTTTAAGCATCATCTTTAAGTTGATAATAGATGACAAATTTGCACTACCTGAAATATTTTCTTAGAAAGAATAATAAATGAATTGTTAAAAGTACAAAATAATTAGACGACTATAAATGAAATAAGAAAGCTTATTTTTTCGCGATTAAAGAGTTCTAAAAGTTTGACAATTACATATATATGAATAATGAACTGAACTCTATCTGTCTATCTATCTATCTATCTATCTATCTATCTATCTATCTATCTATCTATCTATCTATCTATCTATCTATCTATCTATCTATCTATCTATCTATCTATCTATCTATCTATCTATCTATCTATCTATCTATCTATCTATGTATCTATCTATCTATCTATCTATCTATCTATCTATCTATCAATCTATCTATCTCTGTCTTGTACTTCGAATATTAAAGTTTCTTCGCACACGCAATCAAATGAATCATAGAAACTATATATTTAAAAATTGTAATAATAGTAAATTTTTTCATGTTAGTTCATCCATTTTAAGTAAAACTGAATAGTGCAACAGGAGAGAAAAGAAACTTGTCATGATACGCTGTTCTTGATGACATACTATTCATATATATATATATATATATATATATATATATATATATCATATTAGCTAGAAATAAAGTATGCTTTAAAGTAAATCTGAGTGTCATTTATTAATTTTACACATTGAAATCATGAATCAATCATTGTTAGACCACCATTAGAAACTTGGAAGCACTGAAAGAGGGCCATTTCTTCCCTGGTATGGGACTCATCAGTAGTGTGAATCCATCACTCCTGCTACTCACAAGATTTGTACACAGGGCTTTCGGTCTTGAGTGCGAACGCTTAGTCACTAGACGACTGAGCCGGCATCCAATGGTGTTAATGTCTAACTTTGATTAATTTAAAGATTTTGCACAACCTTATCCACTGTCTTAAGTAGTAGTTATTGCCTTCACCTGATAGGGTTTAACTCCACTGGTCACGTTTTCTGATTACTACTAAATTAAAATTTCGATGATCAGATGATATTAATACCATAATAATAATAATAATAATAATAATAATAATAATAATAATAATAATAAACAATCAATAATTATCAAGAGGAAATAGTGTTATTTAGTTAATTTAATTAAAGATTACTTAATGAGAAAGATTAAGCTTAACTTTGTGTATAATCTGTAGGAGTCAAATATACATTAGGCTCTTTCATTCAATTAAGGAGTATTCATTTTAAACATATTTGGATCATAATGTTTATATAAATGAGGTGAGAATTGAACTCAATACTTATTTCCTCAAATGTCAGAGCCTAATTTTCTGAGCTATTGTGTTCAGATAAATTATAAATCAAAGACAATGATAAATAACTTTATGATTATCATTGTTTAGACTTGAAGTGAATCTTCAGAAGGCTTATTTAAAAGCTATATATTCAGTAGAGTTCAACCGTATGAAGGCTTAGATGGGTATCTTCAATGAATTCGGGTGATTGTTGAGCTATGCAACAAATAGACTTTAGTTGTAAATGTGCGTTAATGAACTCCAACCTAACAATTTAACGACTCTGTGCTCGTTGCCACATTCAAATGTTTTTTATGCTCATTTTTGTGTCATTTTAAATGATCAAACTATGGTGAAACAACTATCCTATGCTTGTCAAATTCAAGTAGTTCTTTTCCAACATTAGTGGGCGAAGAGACCTAAATTGTACTCATAAACTATATTCAAACCTAGTTGAAAATGTACACTTAACTAGTCTTAAAAATCGTTGAGGTTTTGATGATTTGTGTTTTTGAGTTTTTTAGTATTTCAAATCCTCACTATAATTGCGAACATTATACTCTTCTCGAAAAGCCTTCTATTACACTTGATTGGTACTCTGTTGTTTGAATCTTTCTACAATTTATTCTTGCTTCTGACTACAGATGTGTTCAAACATGGGTGAAAACATGGGAGAAAATCTATAGCTCAGATGGATGATTTCGATAGAGTTTTGTTCTCTGTGCTGGCTGTTTGTGCTAACAGTATTGTTTAGAAGAACAATAAATGTTCCACAGAACTCTTTTTACCCAACATTCTTGTATGATCTAATTCAATAATAATCTGGAAAGAATGAGTGTGTACTGACTAATAACTAATAACTTCAACTGTGTGAGAAATAAAACAATTAACTGCTAACGAGTGCTATACGAGGACGAAACGGTAATCTTTCAGTGCTTCCAGGTGTCTAATGGTGGTCTAACAATGATCTATTGATGATTTCAAATGTGTAGAAATAATCCAGTTTATAAGTACCTGATAAGTAGACCAAACCATGTCATAAATTTCAATCAATTTTCACAGCTAACCTTTTAATGCGGAGAAAAGAACACCACCACTTTGTAAAATAGGTTTTAACTTATCTGATTGTTTTACATCTAGTGATTCTTATAGACAGAGAGTTTTAAAACAATTATCAGGAAGCGGATAACCCTATGTTTCATGTCAGATAGTTTTCATGTTGTCAAGGTAACATGTGTTTTTAGAAGATGACGTAGTCATTTTGAGTGAGCTTTGTGACATATTTCATAAATATATTCAAATATTTTTAGAAATTACAAGCCTGTTTTTTCTTTGACTAGTTCAATGCTTTTAAAATATCTTATTATTGATTTTCTGAGCAAATATTGACTTACAAAGTGTTGAGAAAGTTAGAACAACAGAACTCACTTGATAAGGTCTTAATTTTATATTTTATTCATGGGGTTGATCAGTTGACCTTGAGATTGAATTTCCCACTCGGAAAATCCTTGACTGCTCTAGGTTGATGCATTATTTTAGTACTCTTTTTTTTGGCTCTCCCTAGGACGTTTCTATCGCGTATAAATAAACTCGATTGTGTCTGCTTGTGAACTTCATATTTCTGGGTGTTTGTAGAATATACTTTCTAGGCCATATCAAGACTTCTGCCTCTACTTAGTGGGGCCTTGGGACGCTTAGATTAGAGGAACCTAACGTGTCACTGGATCATTTGTCTTGGCTCTTGTTTACCGACTAAGGTGAACTCGTAATAGCATTGAAGCATCACAATTAACGAGCGTACCACACAGGATTTCTGTAAGAAATTCTGACAAAAGTCAAATTATTTTTTAATTTGTACACTCATTCCAGTCAACTTAATTAATTAAGCCTATTGTTATTAACAGGAATTGAGAAATTTCACAGAGTATCTGATAAAATGTAATAAACTGTAGTGATTTTTCATCTTAGCAAGTTTATATCTCTGCCTTATACTGAGTTTAGTTCAAACGAATAACAAATTAGGCATATATTACATGTTATGCAATCACAATGAATATACAAGTCAGGTTATTTGACAAGACTTAGTCAAATTGAAATGTTTATTCAAATTAGCTTAAGTAAATTTATTAAATACTGTATTTTTTCTTGATTTTTCAACCTATATACACTTCTTGTTCACTAATGAACCAAGTTCGGGAAACGAGTACTAGGTAGGGGTGGTAAATCAATAGATGAAGTATTGAAACTTCATCACTTGAGGTGGTTAGGACATGTGTTATGAATGCCTAACCACCGACTGCCTCGAAGAGCAATGTTCTATGGTCTAGGTTTAGGCTGGAAGAAATTTAGGGGCGGCCAGACCGAAAAATTGCACAAATTCATGAAGTCACTGACAAGTGGACAGAGTCATGTTGGTAGATGTAGGCTACCTGGTTGGAGTCCGCGAGACAAAAGTCACCAATGTTTAGAGACCTTGAACGACATGGCTCAGAATCGTTTGCAATGGTGCAGGTGCATTCATTTATTGTGTTCTTTGAAATCCTAATCTTCTGGATCTGTCAACACCTCTACCTCTGTCTTTCTAAACTTATCTCACTGAATTATACTTTCTTGAATCATATCTTCGAACCCTAGTCTTCTTCATTACCATTAATACCTCTACTATCTTTATCACTATGGGATTTGATTTGACATTTGCGTCTCTGTGCTAATGTGGTATGGCAACCTGAACTTATGTACATACGTACGAAGTTCTACGTTGTAACCGACTGACTCACTGAATTCATATAATTTTACTTCATCATAATGACAAACAAATTTATTTAACTAATTTTTACAATGAAAATGATAAACGAAAAACTTTTTGATTTTTATTCAAATAGCGAAATTCTAATTAAAATCAAATATTTTTTTCCAAATCAATCTTTCAAATATTTGTCGTTTGAAGTGGAAGAAAAATATTAAATAGTATCGTTTAAATCACGTGCCATAATTTTAATGTCCATGTACACATATATATATAGTTTTCAATTTGAAAATGGTTTACACCAGCGATTGATTTTATTCCGAAAGAAAGTGAGAGTGGAAAGGCGAAAAATCAATAATTATTTTGTTCAGTTGTTTGATCCATCAATACTGTGTACACATAATCTTATTAGACATCAAACCTCTGCCCAAGCAGGCTTGATGAAGAGCATACTAAGATTTATATGTATATATTGTATTTCTCACAACTCATTGACATCGATGATACCTCGTTCATGTTCAAGGTGGTTGAAATAAACCAGCAGTTGGAGCTCATCAGATCCACAGGATTTCATCTAAAAGTTTGTCACTGGTTAGCATATTATTATTAAAATGAAACCTTTAAGGACAGCATTTAACGTGTAAATAGTTAATATCACAAACTGTTTCCTAACTCATTATTATTACAATACTTTATCTCATTACAACTTGCAACTAGCTTAGTTTGCTGGTAGTCATGTTCAAATTCTTTCATTAGATCAATGCAATGAGTAATGTAGATTTTGTGTATTTAACAAAAATTCTTATGAACGATATAATTTCAAAAACTAATTCTATACAAAAATATACATATTTATCATCTGACTGGTAATCTGTTTTTCTGTTTTTTTTCGGCATCAGTTTGTTGGTGGTATGGATATACCAAGACCTCAGAATCGTCTTGAAATCGTGTCTTCAATGAGAAGAATTCGAGTAAGTGATCGATTATTTTTTGGGTTTATGTATTAATTGATTTCTGGATAAATGTATATAATACATTAACAATGATATTGGTAGTAATTAGTTAAACATCTCACTAACCATTTATGTGAAAGTGGTTGTTTTGCGTTGGTGAATACATCATCTACATCTACCTTAAAAATGCCTATTCTTGTCTAAAATTACTGTTAATTATGAGAAGAAAATGCTGTGTTTGACCATTGCTGAGAAATTCTAGGGCTGCTTTATTTCTGTGGTGGAGTTTCATTCTTTGAGCTCAATATTTCGGTTGTGGAGCTTTCATTGTTCTCCTGCTGAACAACATCAACAGCAGCAGAAACTTTAGATAGTAGAAGTGAAGCATTCGAAATTCTCTATATATGACTTGTAACTCCTTGGTTTACGATGACTGTTTAGTCTCATTCAAACCATAACATCTACAAACATCTACACATTTTCATCAGCCTCTCATCTTGACTAAATTTGATTCTTCATTAATATATTGAGGCAGATATGTGAACAAAAGGAGCAATATTCGTTATCACGTTCTGTAAACTGAAACGTTTCTGATTTACTGACTGAAAGAAATAGTTTTAATGTAAATTTATGCATACGGGTACAAGTACAATGATCTTACTAAGATTTGTTGAAATGACTTTTATGCCAATGCCAACGTAGATCAGGTTACAAGGCATAAAATTACATGCTAACATTTGAAATAGATATACACTGTCTAATTCATAAAACTTCTTAGATTTAAATTACACACTATGCAACAGATAATAATGAAGGAGACTAAGTGAAATGTAGTGAGTGTTAGGGTGATTGTCAATTCAAATGAATCGAATAGGTGTACGTTGAAAAAAAATACACTGATTAAAAGGGATCATATACACCTTATAAATTAGGTCACTTAACAGTTGGTACTCATTCCAGTAGTAGGAGTTTAACATGCTTTTCGTGGACAACAAGACTTGCTTATCTCAAAAAAATAAAATGGGACACATATTACAATTCGATCTGGAACCCAACATCTCTGTACTTAAATTACTGTCCCTAAATAATTTCTGACTACTTCAGAGTTTGTTTAAATAAAAACAGATCTTCTTTTGGCGAATCATTGACATTATAGGTATTAGACAATATTATATCTAACATTATTTTACATGACTATAATTTGAACAAAAACTTTCTATTACATATATATATATATATATATATATATATATATATGTACTGCGCAGTAGTTCTCTCCGTCCTACTATATGGCTGTGCAGCATGGCCAGTCAGAGTAGAAGATATTCGTAGGTTACTGGTTTTCGATCATAGGTGTCTTCGAATCATTGCTCGTATATCATGGGACAATCGAGTGAGCAATGCTGTCATCAGGAAACGAGTACTAGTTAAGGATGGCAGATCAATAGATGAAGTATTGAAACTTCATCAGTTGAGGTGGTTAGGACATGTGCTGCGTATGGCTAACCACCGACTGCCTCGTCAAGCTATATTTAGGGAGTGTGAAAAGGTTGGAAGAAAGCTAGTGGCGGCCAGACCAAAACATGGCACAAATGCATGAAGTCACTGACAAGTGGACTGAGTCATTTTGGCAGGTGTCGACTACCTTGTTGGGGTCCGCGAGATGATATTGATCGATGGTTAGATACCCTGAATGACATGGCTCAAAACCCCTTTTGGAATGGCGCCGGTGCATTCATTCTTTGTGTACTCTCAAATCCCAAACATTTTAAATCTTCATCACTTTATCTTTTTAAGTCTATTTCACTAAATTCTACTTCTTGAATAATATCTTCTAATCCTAACCTTTCCGACAACTGCTAATACCTCTACTACCTCTAGTACTATGGGATTTGAATTGACAATTACATCTCTGTGCTAATGTAGTATGGCAACATGAAACTATGTACGTACGTTTGAAGTTCTACGTTGCTATTGATATATATATATATACTTGTATATCTAAGTTCATATTCTGTAATTTCCTATCAAAATATATTCTCCTATCAAACATTGTTATGATTTGAAATCATAGTTATAATATATGTGATTACGCTCAATTGTCTTTGTCATCAAATGATCGATAAACTAATTTGAGTATTCACATAGTGCCTTGTTTTATTTGTTGACATTATAGAATTTTGCTTGTTGAATCAGTCAAGTATAACGTATTAAATTAGCATAATCTTTCAGTTTGTTCTTCTCATAGATTGTATTGTAGTAGAAAATAATAATGTTTTATATTTGACAAAGTTTCAAACAACAATTTGACACTGATTTATAAAAATAGGAATAAAAATCAAAGCTATTGACTAGCTTTGTGAGGAAATTCTCGGAGTTCTAGTGAGAAGGCGTGATCAGTGGAGTTCAACGTGGGTTCGAATCCTGTGAGGTACAGGAGTCGTGGATGCGCACTGCTGATGAGTAGTCCTATACCAGGACGAAACGACTGTCTTTCAGTGCTTCCAGGTTTTAATGGTGGCCTAACAATAACTCATTCATGATTTCAAATGGGTAAAATCACTAATCTCCATAACTCTAATTGAAAATAAGTTATTTTGTTAAATGTAGACAGTAGTGATCATATGAAATAAAAATATGCTTGAAAGTAGCTTTGATGTTTACGTTAAGATTCGATATTGATCGTATGACAGTGCAACAACAACATTCAAGCCTGATGGTCTAAAAGTCGAAATGGTCGAACAAACTAGCTAGAAATATATATTCAAAACGCACTATCCCGTTTGAGGCATCCATCCTCATGAGGTTAATTAAGTTTCATAATTTAATGAAAAGATAACAACTTACTGTATGGATCACCTGAATGTGTCCAAGTGAAGTATCTCAGATGATATGTTTTGTCTTGATAACAATATGTGTTAGATATATGAAATGATAAATGTTGGTCCACAATTAGAAATCTGGAAGTACTAGTCTACAGGTTATTCGTTCGCGAGCAAGACTGAAGACCCTCGGTACGATTCTCGCGTACGAAAGTCGTGAATGAGCACAGCTGATGAGTCCCACGCCAGGACGAAACAGCTTTCCTGTGCTTCCAGGATTCAGTTAATGGTCTCACACTGCTTCCAACTTATCATGATTTTAAGGTTGATCAATGAATTCAGTTGTAGCGCTGGTTAAGCTTGAATATTTTCGTGGAAAATCAATTTAGCCATTTCAACCGATCATTATAATATTTTGTTTTTCTTTTCAAATAAATTGTAACACAAAAAAAAAAATGATTGTTATCAATTTTTAAATTGTTCTCCGATACAGAAGTTGTGTCAGCATTTTTTCTTCAGTAGGATTGATTATTGTAAATAGAAACCTTTTCGAATATTTTAAAATCGAAATATTAGTTTGATAATATTATGAACAAATATTTATCCCGGAAAGATTAATTTTTCTGTGTTATGAGTAATATTTGCGAAAATAAAGTTAAATTACATACTTTTCATCATCGATTTAATGATGATAGTTCTTATTTAAAAGTTGTTTTGTTTTCATACGATGACAATGATCAGTTGCGCATTTTGTGTGAGTTAAAAGTATTCATCAGAATTCCAGTAAGAAATAATGATAGTAGACTGATCAAAAGTTGGATGTGAACATCGTTGAATGCAGGCTCAGTGGTCTCGAGGTTAAGCATTCGCGTGCGGGACCAAAGATCCAAGGTTTGATCCTTGTGTGCGACAGTTGTAGATGCGTACTGCTGATGAGTCTCATACTAGAACGAAACGACCGTTCAGTGCTTTCAGGTCTTCCCAATGCTGATCTAACAATGACTGATTCATGATTTCGAATAGAAATTTTTAAGTCAGTCAGATGCAACGTAGAACTTCGTACGTAAGTACATCAGTTCATGTTGCCATACCACATCAGCACAGAGATATAATTGTCAATTCAAATCCAATAGTAGAAGAGGTAGTTAAGGTATTAGAAGTAATCGGAGAGGTTAGGATTAGAAGATATTATTCAAGAATTATGATTCAGTGAGAAAAGTTTAGAAAGTCAAAACTAGACGGGTTGAAGAATCCAGAAGATTAGGATTTGAGAGAACACAAAGAATGAATGCACCGGTGCCATTGCGAACGATTTTGAGCCATGTCATTCAAGGTCTCTCACCATCGATTATTATCATCTCGCTGACCCCAACATGGTAGTCGACAACTACTGAAATGACTCAGTCCACTTATCAACGACTTCATGGATTTCTGTCATGTTTTGGTTTGGCCGCCCCTAACTTTCTTCCAACCTACTCCTACACTACAAAACAAAGCTCGTCGAGGCAGTCGGTGGTTAGGCATACGCAGCACATGTCCCAACCACCTCAACTGATGAAGTTTCATTACTTCATCTATTGACCTGCCATTCTTACCTTGCACCCGTGTCCTCATAACAGCGTTGCTCACGAGCAATGCTTCGAAGACACCTATGATCGGAAACCAGTAACTTACGAATATCTTCTACTCTCAATGGCCATGCTGCACAGCCATATAGTAGGCCAGAGCGAACTACTGCGCAGTACACTCGTCCTTTAGTCAGCAAACAGATATCTCGCCTACGCCATAAGTGACGCAGGTTGGCAAAAGCCAATTGAGCCTTGTGTATCCGTGCTGAGATTTCGTCAGTCACCAGGCCATCAGCACTGATGAGACTCCCAAGATAAGTGAAGCGGTCTACACGTTCGACCACTTCACTCCCTATCACTAGTTCAGGTGCCGATGCAACCCAGTCTTGAAGCAATATTTTGCATTTCGAGGGGGAAAACCGCATCCCGAACATGCTTGCATTGTTGCTTATGGTAGTGCAAGCATGTTCGACCAATGATTTGAATGCTGTTCAAAGTACAATGTTCAAAGTATGATTTATATAAATGTTCATATGAATATCTTTACTTAGTTGTACAATAAATATAATTTATAGACAATGGCAAAAACTAAGACCTTAAATTATTATCGTCACTCATAATGTGGAAT